CGATGCAACACTTAAGCGTTTTTGGAAGTTGGAAGAATTAACGTTCCAAAATCAGAAGTCAACGATTGAAGAAGTGTTTTGCGAGAATCATTTTAAAGAAAATTATCGAGTAAACGAAAACGGCAGATTTGCTGTCCGACTGCCCATTTTCAGTAAAGCTGAAGAGTTAGGTGACTCCCAACCTTTGGCTATTTCCTCATCTTCTATCCATGGAAAGAAAACTTGATTTAGATAAAGAACTTGGTAGGCAATACAAGGAGTTCATGCAAGAATACGAAACTTTAAATTATATGGTTCCAGTTGTTCAGACTGAAGAAAATAAGCAAGTATATTATCTACCGCATCATGCTGTTGTTAAACCGAGTAGCTCTACCACTAAACTTCATGTAGTATTTGACGGATCATGTAAATCTAAAAATTCAGTTTCTTTGAACTCCATTTTAGGGGTAGGTGCAACACTACAACGAGATATATTTTCAATATTGCTCAACTTCCATATACATAAAATAGCTTTTTCTGCTGACATAGAAAAAATTTACCACCAGATTTTAGTAGATAATGAGGATCAACATTTACAAAGAATTGTTTGGAGAGAATCTGTTAATTCAATAATGCAGACATATAAATTATGTACAGTTACTTATGGCACTGCATCTGCACCATTTTTAGCAACACGCCATTTGTGGCAAATTGCTTTGGATGCAGAACAGGATCCTCTTCATGTATCTTTCGTTCTTAAAAACGATTTCTATGTAGATGATTTCTATCTGGAGCAAACAGTTTAGAGGAAGCAGTTGACCTATGTTCTAAGCTTTCACAGCAATTAGAGAAACGTGGATTCAATTTAAGGAAATGGAGATCAATCTGCTCTAAGCTCCTCGAAAATTTATCCATTGATGATCATGAAGAAGATGACCTGGAAGTTCACTCAGATGAATGTGCCAAGACTTTAGGGCTATTTTGGAACTCTACAGAAGATGTATTTTTATTTAACATTTCTATGGATTTCAGTACTGAAATTACTAAAAGAAGGTTCATTTCTCAACATTCTAAAATCTTTGATCCTCTTGGCTTGCTATCACCATGTACAGTCAAGTTGAAAATGTTTTATCAGCAGTTGTGGTTTTTAAAACTTGACTGGGATGCCCCACTGCCTAAAGAATGGGAAGCGAAGTTGCAGCGACTTCAAGATCTTAAGGTTCTCAGAAATGTTAAAATTTCGAGGTGGCTTCAAACTACGTCTAACCACATCTATCTGCTTGGTTTTTGTGATGCGTCAGAATCTGCTTACGCTGCTGTCATCTATTGTGTTCAACCAACATCTCACAACAGAAATGAAGTCAATTTGGTTGTTGCAAAAACCAAAGTTGCTTCCATTAAACAAGTGTCCATACCTAGACTGGACTCCTAGGTGCATTGCTCCTTGCCAGATTAATCAAAGCTGTCTGTAAATCCTTCTCCAACACTGAAATTTCCTTTCACACTTGGACTGACTCTAAGGTTGTTCTCTGTTGGTTAGCAACTCATCCTCGAAAATGGAAGCCTTTTGTGGCAAACAGGACTTCAGAAATATTAGATACTATTCCCTATCAACAGTCGAGCTATATTTCGTCGAAACAGAATCCTGCCGATCTTCCTTCTAGAGGAATCAATCCTAAGCTTCTACCGAACATATCCCTGTGGTGGCATGGGCCATCATTCTTAGCGTTCGACAGTTCAAAGTGGCCTTTACAATGTTCTGTCAGTAATGAGACCAACAGTGATGTAACTGTCTTAGATGAACAAAGGACAAAATCAATTTTTTGTACAACAGCTTATTTGACTAATGACACTCTGAACAATTTATTTCAGAACTGTTCTTCTTGATCTAAAATAGTTAATGTAATTTATTTTTGCTTAAGATTTATTTCTAGGTGCAAAGAACAGGTCTTTGGTTCTGAAGATAATAGGTTAAAATATCCTGCAGTAGTACCTTCATCCAATGAAAGGCAAGAAGCTATGAAGTTGATCATTAAATGGATCCAGTTTGTGCACTTCCATTAAGTTATAAAGGATCTCAAAAATAATTCAGCTTTAAGTCCTAAACGTGTTTTAAGCTCATTTTTTCCTTTTCTAGATGATGGTGTTTTACGGGTGGGAGGTTGGATGCAAAATGCTGACTTGTCATTCAATGCTAAGCATCCCATAATTATCCCAGGTCAACACAGGTTTGCCTTGTTACTTATTAAACAATAGCATGTAACTTATATGCATGCAGGGCCCAGTTTACTAGCTAACATTTTAAAGCAAAACTATTGGATTGTAAATGGTAAGAACTTATTCAGTTTTTTATCCATAAATGTATTGTTTGTCACAGATATAAATTGTCATCTAATAATCAATTAATGGCAATGTCAGAGTTGTCACAGTAAAACTGTTAATGGTTATTTTAAAAGACCTATAGTAAAAATTTACCATTGCCACTACATCGGGAATGATCTACTGTTAATGCAATGGCAAGGGTGGGAGGGAGTTAATGTTGGATGTATATTTAATATTTGCATTTCTTTTTTTTCTTTGCCTTATTTATTTGCTCACTGTTTATTTTTATGTTATGATTTACAATAATCTGGTTACTGGCAGCATGCTTTATTTTACTATTGAGTTTGTGTGAATGGCAACAGTTGTTCATGTTTATGTTTCAGTAGAATAGCGTTCTTAGCCGCACTGCGCTGCAGGCAATTTTTCTCTTAAATATTTCATGCTTTTAGAATAGCAATAAAGTTTATTATACAAAACTGATGCTTTTTAGTTTAAGGCAACTAGTACTACTAATCATACAACCAAATGAAACCATGCAGTTCTTCTGAAGAGTTTTCCCCGTGAGTGTACCTTAAAGGAAATGTCTATATAAATAATCTGCATGCCTTGCAGAAGAGTATTACACCCTATCTGAAGAGATCACATACACTGCAGAGGAACATTACCACCATTATTGTATACCTGAAGACGAACATTATGATGGCAGCTAGTAACATCATTGTACAGGTACTCCACACAAAGTGGCTTCAAACATAGTAAAAACAGCATATGCATGCATTACTGAACAAAACTGCTATTTCAAGCATATATAATAGAGACATGATTTAATACTGCCTTTATATAATGTAAGAAAACATTATTTCCTTATTATTATTCATGCACTACAGAAGAACATTAACTTTTACTTGAACAGACCACACACACTGCAGAACATTATGATGGCAGCCAACATCCATGTGTAAGTACTTCCCATAAAGTGACCTTAAACATGGTAAAAAAGAGCATATACATGCATTACTGAACAGAACTGCTATTTCAACCATATGTTATGGAGAAATGATTTAATATTGCATTTATACAATAAAAGACAACATTCCTCTTTTATTATTATGGCCCAAATTTTTCAAACGCCAATTGTCACCTTCTCACATGTACTTTGTTTCTGCCATGTCTCTGCAATTGCTTTTATATGACGCCAGAACCATTTTTTTCATTTCTAGGACTTTTGCCACACAAATTCTGGTGTTTAACCATGCCTCATTGATTTTTGTTTCACCATTTAGCAATCTTTTTAATCTTTTTAGCATTTTGTGCATGAGCAGCCATTGTTGGATCAGCAAAATGAAAATTATGGATCACAGTAAAATATCTCGTAACCTATTTTTTTCTAGTTCTTTTGCTCTGTATGCTCACCAGTAATCTAAATAAATCAGTGATTTCTCTTGTACATGGTTGACATTTTTTGCCATGAGTGTCCTCGTTTTCTCGGCACACCCTCCATATATCTCTACTGTAAAAGAATTCAACTGGCTTTGTTTTTTCTCCCGTCTTCTTTTATGTCCACAATTTTTTAAGGTCACCCATTCGCTTATTTGGCTGTCGAATTAGAACACACCTTTCTCATAAAAATGTTTCAATCTATAATAGTATTTTCAAAAGAGCTGATTTGCTTCTCAGTTAATCAATGTCCTTTTCTCTGCTCAGTGGTAAATAAATTACTACATTACTATAAACAGTATTTTGAAACCACTAAGCTAGCCCACCAGCCACCGAGCGTTAAAATCGCTGAACCATGGCAGTTCAGTCCAAGGTTCTAATTTCACGGATGAGCTGGCCGCATGAGCATTTTCGTGGTTTTCCCCATGTGTAACGTGTGTACAAGCCAGTTTCACTCAGAAAGTCTTTGTAAAGGCATCCCTCCCCTTAGGCAGACAGCCCTGGAGGCTTTACCATAATTACATAAAACCAGCTACTGATCTAGATGTCAAATGCATGCTTTTCCTTCCCTAGCAACTTTTTGCATTGCATCTCTAAACGTTTTCATTAATCCCTAGTTTTATTTAATGGCCATTTTCACATATTTGAATGCAGGGTAAAATACATCTTTCTTGTAAGAAAGGTTTGGAATCTTCTCTGTAAATCAAACATTTTTAATATCCCCCCCCCAAAAAGGAAATACATTAACATTTTAACACTTTAACTACTCACAGCTCTTTTTGTGATAACAGAATTATGTGTGATCATGAACTGTTAAAAATTTATATGAAAAAAGAATGTGCAATAACATACTCAGAGCTCTTTTCATTACAAATGACTACTGATCATTTGATGATAATTTGAGTTGGTAATTCATTGATAATCTTGGTGCTGTTTACAAAATTGGAGCTATAATAATAAGGAAGTACCCAGTACATATTAGTAATTAGTATTTTATTGACCCTTTTTTGTTCTTAATGCAGCATTAAAATAAAAAGTAAAATATATTTAACTCTGAATATATAATGAAACCTGCATGCCATTTTAATAACTTAAGTTCATTATATGGGATATTATACAATACTGTATGTGTTTGTTATGCAGGACATTCATTATGTGAGGCACCATCATGTACTATACAATTAGCAATCAGACACATTTTCAAAAAACTATAAATTTCTGATATTTTTAATGATTTTGTTTTTAAAAATTCTTATGCTTACCTCAAAAACATTTCCTACTTCATGATCAGGACTCGGAGCAAAAGCCTGATTCACATATAGAAACTAAAATATAGTAATTTCATTTAAAAAAAATGTTTTTTCTTGCTTTTGGTGTATACAGAGTGTAACAGAATTGATGGGTTACAACTTCAATGGATGATAGAACATGCCAATTTTCATAATACAATAAATATATGATGAAATGCGACTGTGAAACATGGTAAATACAGAGTGAAACATTTTTGATTACCCATTTTGAAAATAATATGCTTGGACTTAAGAGACCACATTTTTTTTTTTTTTTTCCCAAATATTTTATATCATCTTTTTTACTTCTTGTCTATTTAATGTACATATCATGCATATTTTATATTTGGGCCACGTAACCTCGATTATGAAACAGTCTAGCTGTGAAATGCTGATATCCCAATCTATGTGCCCATGCACTTGAGGGATAAGGCATTTGCAACCGAAGTGGAAAGAATGGAGGGAGGAAAACGAGCCCATAATTGCCAATGTCATGCAAAGTGTCCACAACAGTGAGCTCAAAGTTATTTTCACTTAGAACTCAGTGGTCTGTTATTGTCTTGTGCAGTGCATTGCTAAACAAGATGGTCATATGGTATATATGAGGGTTGCTACTTATATTTCTGGCATTGGCAACAGTAAATGTTGCTAGCCGACTGCTGACAATTCCAACTGACAGTTTGATATATTTAACCATAATTTGCCATTTTAGCGTGATTCGTATTGTTTGCAGTAAATTGAAGAATTCACCTTTGACAAAAAATGAACTCGACTCGCGAATATTTTCATGCGATTATTTTTCATAACTTTTGACATGGATTATCAAGACATGAGTGCTTTTATGAACTTAATTCTTTATACAGTAATAAAGCACCATCCTACAGTACTGTAAAAAACTGGTATAACTAATTCAATCATGGTTGGTTGGTTGACTTGTAATGGCACAAAACCTTGAAGGTTATTATGCGCCAGATGAATGGTGAATAAAATCCAAAATGCACAAGCACACTGTATCAGATGAATTGTCAAAATGAACTTGTAATGCTGATGAAGGCATGAAGAAATGACTTTGAGAAATGCTCTTGCAACAGGTAGAGCAGGATAAAAGGAAAAACTTCAAATCATATGGTAAAAAGAGATGTCTTTTAAAAATCTTATGAGGTTGATGTGAGGGTTCTTCCAATGTTAACATTCGTAGAGTTAAAATGATATTTACGTTTTTGACTATGAGCAGGACAGCAGGTTAAAATGTGATTGACTGAAATGGGAACATTGCAAATACCACAAATGGGCTCATTATCTCCTTTCAAGAGATACTGATGTGTCAGTCTGCAGTGACCAATTCGTAGGCGAGTCAGTACATCCTCCTTTCGATTCCCTCTCGACTCCCAATACTCTAAATTAGGTTTTAAATGCCTTAATTTGTTCAGTGTCTGGCATTCCCAGAGTTCTTGCCACCTGGACAAGATCTTTGTTCTGATGTAATTCTGTATGTCTGTAAAAGGGACATCATTTTCAGAGGTTATATCAGCAGATTTTGCTGCGACATCCGCATGTTCATTGCCTTTGATGCCAGCATGTCCAGGCACCCAGCAGTACACAATAGAATAACCTGTGTTTCTCAAATGGAGGTGCGCCTTAAAAATTTCTAAGACTAAAGGGTGGCTAGTTTTTGTAGTTGACTAAAGGGGGACTAAAGGGTTTTGTAGTTGACTTTGTAGTGTTTGTAGTTGACTAAAGGGTGGCTAGTTCTCTGAGTGCTCTTGAATCAATTTATTGATTCAAGAGCACTCAGAGAGTCAAAGTAGATGATGAACTTTCTGCTATTCTGCTTGGAGATAAAGATTAAGGAATTCAAAATGGCAAACGTTTCTGCAATAAAGACAGATGCAGCCTTATGAAGGTTACTACTCTTGATGTCTTTATCACAAACAAAAGCTGCCCTGACATGATCATGATTCTTTCAGTCATCAGTAAAAATTGCTTTATAGTTAAAATGACTGCTTCTATGCTTTAGGAAAATTTGTTGATATTAGACATCATTAGTACTACTCTTCTTAAGTTCTCCAAAAATGTTAAGTACGTGAATATTCACTTCTTGCCAGGGAGAAATACCAAAAAAGTTAAGCTTTTGGGATGCATATCTTTTAGGTTAAATTCTTCAATTTGTGAGTAAATGCGAAGATCAAAAGGTGGGCTACATGAAGGACGTGCTTGGTAAATACGCCGGTACTGATCAGATGTCATGAGTTGGACAGGATGTTAGGCTTGTGACATTACTTTATAATGAAGATCAATGGACAACTGTCATGACGTGATGACCACGCATGTGCAGTTTCGCCGAATGGCCTGCAACGCCTCTCTCTCATGAGACTTACTAGAGAAGAGTTGTTAGGAGGTAGTAGCGAAGTAACGAAGGAAACGTGCTGTATGTCAGCTTAGATGCAAGATACGAAATGATACTTGTGTGTTAATCGTTTGTACTTATTATTTTTTATTTGTGTGTTAATAAAGTTTTGTGCCGTTAAAATGGCTGTTTTATGCAACGCACAATACGATACGTCTACGGTAGGAAGTAAATACATATCCAGAAGCTACATGCCCAAGAAAAAGAAGGATATGACAGTGGTGTCAGAACAGAAGGATATGTCATTCTGCAAAGTTCACGGATAAATGCGTGAGTCTTCAGAAAGGTAAGAAATTTGTTCAATTTATTTTGTGGTAAAGTCGAATTCAAGGTTACAAAAATGGCTGAAGAGCTAACGAAATCTAAGAAAGAACGGAAAGTTATTCGTTCAGCCATTACTAAAGTAACAAATGCTATTGAATCATTAATTGCAGCCGGTAACCTTGAAGACCTCGAAGAATCACTGGAAAGTTTAAAAGTAAAAGCTATTTCTTTGAGAGCATTAGACGAAAAAATTAAAACTTTGACTGATGTTAATGACATTGAAACCGAAATCGAAAGTGCCTTGGAATACGAAGAAAAAATTTCGAAATGGAGCTTTAGAGGCACAAAATTATTGAAAGAAAAAAGAAATAGCAATAATTCGCTAGTTTCTAATGGTTCTTTTAATGATAGTAACAATTTATCTATTTCTGGTGTCGATAAAATTTCTGATGATAATGTTAAATTGCCGAAGATTATGATTGATAAATTTTATGGGAATGCTGAAATGTGGCAGACATTTTACAATTCTTTTGATACGGCAATAAATCAAAACTTAAAACTATCTAAAGTAGATAAGTTTAATTACTTGCTTAGCCTGTTAGGCGGTGCAGCTTTAAAAACAATAGAAGGCTTTTCTTTATCTCCAGAAAACTACGACGAAGCTTTTAAAATTCTCAAAGATAGGTATGGTCGAAAAGATCTCCTTATTAATTCTTACATGCATAAACTTTTAAATTTACGGCCTGTCCGAAGTTCTAATGACATTAATTCTTTGAGGGAATTATATGATACCTGCAACGTACAAGTAAGGTCACTAAATTCGATAGGGGTCAAGACCGAATCGTTTGGAAAGTTACTATACCCTTTGTTAATGAAATGCATACCTCAGGACATAACGAACGCTTGATTTTGCTCGTCAAAACGCAGATGAGGAAACTTTTAATGTCGACAACCTCATGAAATTTCTAAAACGGGAAATTGAAAGTCGCGAACGAACTTCATTAAATTTATTTTATTCTAAGAGTCACGCTAATTCTCTTGGAAGGCATTCGCAACCAAATGAAAGCGAAACACACTTCCACACTCGGAATTCATTCAATGCCAACAAAATTTGGCGCCAGCTATTCCCCTAATGTAAGCAAAATTGCAGTTGTTCGCACTTTCCCTTGCTTATTTTGCGAAAGCGAAAATCATGCTTTGGAAAAATGCGTTATGTCTCCGGAAGAAAGGTAAAAGAGTTTAAGGGCTTCTAATCGGTGCTTTCTTTGTTTCGAAAGGAATTGTAGAATAAAAAATTGCCCTTCTCAATCAAAATGTTCAAAATGTAATTCTAAGTATCATAATATATTGTTGCATGAAGATAAGGAAAGGGTTGCTAAAGAAGAAATTAAGAATAATTCTAACGCCGTAACTGCAAAGATTTCTTCTAAATATTTTACTGCGAATCAAGAAGTTAAAGAATTAATAGATGACTTGCCAACCGTTAAACTTATATGTGATGGTAAATTAATTAATGCAATAGCAGATACAGGCATGCAATTAACCGTTGTCAAGACCGACATTGTACCAGAAAAATACCGTACGTCACATGGAAGTGTTATCCTCACGTCAGCTTTCGGGCAAGCTTTAAAAGCTCCTCTCATTAACCTACCTTTAGTAATATATTCTGAAAATGATAAATTTATGTCACCTATTTTTATAACATGTGCAATGGTGGATAAAATATGTAATGATTTACTCTTGTCATTAAGTGCTTTTAATGAGTTAAGGGGAGATGATAAAAGAAAGTTTAATTTTGAATGTAAAAATGTAAACATTGCTACTGATAGTTTCGGTGAAATGCCTTTTCATGAAACTGAAAATTTTGACGAAATACTTAACCATGATATGGAAAACCTAATTAATGAAAAATGTAATGAAACTGTTAAGAAGATAATAGAATGTTGTGCTCATATATATCAAGATACAGGTAAGGATGATTCCAAAAGTAGCACGAGACACAATCAATGTGTTTCGGATTCAGAACTGTTTCGAGTGCAACAAATGAATGACCCATCTTTAAAAACATGCTGGCAAAATGTTAAGAACGGAAGTAATAACTTTATTGTTATTGACAACTTTTTGTATCATAAAGATAAAGTTCTAGGAGAAAGAGTTTACCAGTTAGTCGTTCCTAAAGAAAGAAGAAAACAAATTTTAGACTTAGCTCATTCTATGGGGAAGCCACCTGCGAACCAAGAAGACAGCTGAACGTTTGAGATATTCGTTCTATTAGGCCAGAAATCAAAGAAAAGATGTAAATGAATACTGCAGTGCTTGTACTTCTTGTCAACTTCAAGCGAAAAAAGCGTCCCTTTGATGAAGT